TTATTGCTCTGCTGCCGTAATTTACATGAGGCCTGGAAATAGACTGCACTGTAGCGGAGATGGACCTTTTCCAACACAATGAGCATTAAGAGGACGGTTCTGTCGGGCCAGAGAACACTTTTCAGACTGGACACATTCTGAAGCGGGCCTGTTCTCTCTGAGGGGCCAGCGTGATGCAGCCATTTACTAAATTGTATAAGAGCAAAGTGGTTGTAAATGTACACACGGGGTTCTGGTGGATTCTGTGAGATTAGTAACCTGCCGGGTGAGATTAAAAACCACTGTTAGGATTTAGATTCAGATTAAGAGATTTTTTGTTTGTCCCACGGTAGGGAAATGTCAGTGTTGTATCCACAGACTGTGAATGTTAAGAAATGTAGTGGCGCCTTTCTCTGCAGTTGAAACTAATGTGCCACCACTTTTGCCTTCTGTTGCTTTTTCAAAATGGCTGCAGGGCAGGAAAATGTGAAAAAAACACATCTGCGCGTGCGTTAGCTTGACTAGCCTCATTCATTTAACAAGTGCATTCAAAAGTCCACAGCTGCGAAAGTAGACTGGTCCAAAAAAATACTCCTCTAAAAAAACAAATTGGTTTCTATCTATCTATAAATCTATCTACTTCATGGGTGGAACGTTGGCTGAGTGGTTAGCACTCTCGCCTCTCAGCGAGAAGGTTCTGGGTTCGAATCCCGGTCGGAACAGGGTCTTTCTGAGTGGAGTTTGCATGTTCTCCCTGTGTCTGCGTAGGTTTCCTCCGGGTGCTCCGGTTTCACCTACCACTAAAAACATGCACAATAGTTCAGGGTGAATGTGGGACAACGGATGGAAATTAGCCCAAAGCTACAATCTGGAGTGATGTGTTCATAAACATGTACTGTCCCAACCAAATAAACAATAAATAAATGTCGGCTAAAAGTTAATTTGTTTATTTATTTCAAAAATGCACAAGATATTATTCACAGGAAAATATGATAATAGGAGAAAACAACCAAACCTGTGCCTGTTTTGAAAAGCTTATATTAATCCAATCCGCTCCCATCCATTCACCCACATACTACAATATAATAATAATAGGGCTGTCAAACGATTACAATTTTTAATCGAGTTAATTACAGCTTAAAAAATAATTAATCATAATTAAACGCATTTCGAACAATCAACAAAATGATGCCATATTTTTCTGTAAATGGTTGTTTGATTGGAAAGATAAATGACAACATAGTGAACATATGAACTGTATGTGTTTATTATAGCAATAAATCCATATAAAATGGCATTAACATTATTAACATTCTGTCTTTCTGTTTAGACTCAGACCAAAACCATTGTTTGTTACAGATGAGGGACATTTCAAAACAGTCTGAAGCAGAATGTCATTAAATCTGATTTGCTCACACCATTACGGTACACGGAGGAGGCTGAGGCGCCGTAGTCCAGCTTCTGTGCTGTATTTTGTGTGTGCATCGGTTACGCAAAGACACGTACATAACAGAGAATAGTTCTGTGCGTGGTCTTGGATATGATCACGTTACGCGGCGCCGTTCGCCGTGATCACAGCCGCTGGAGGAACCGCGCTGTCCAGAGCGCCGCAGCTCAGCTCGCAGAGTTCATATGGAAACAACAGCGGTCACGCGTGTATTCTTTTAAAACTTGGATTCCCAGAGGGCCTTCTTACTCTGTCACCATCTCACTCACACACACATTCTGAGTGTTATTACGGGCATTAACGCAATCATTTTGACAGCCCTGAAAAAATAATAATAATACAAATCCCAACAATACCCTCCAACAAGTAAAGTCTAAACATCTGCAGCTGTGTGAAGCTCAGAGGTGTCTGTATGTTCTGCCCCATCTGAGCCGGACAGAGATGCTTTTACCCTCCCAGTCTGGGGCTCTGGGCTGAGGCTGGTGCAGGGATGGGCTCATATTCTGGCTCTTTGTGTTCCATTGTGAAATGTATGAGAATCATCGAGGCCTGAAGACCTGCTCTAACCACAGCCTCATTCACTCTGGGCTTTTATCATCAGACCACAAAATAACTTTTATATGTGCCAGACATATACACTTTTCAGATTCGTGGAAATGAGGATGTGGTTGAAGGTTGGATGTGTAAAGAGGTGAAAATACTTCTTGTATAGTGTTAATGAATACTTCTGGCTCTGAAATGATTGCAGATGCTGTGTATTTGGGGCCAAAGCCACTGGAAAAAGTATGTTATATTTATCATGATGTATGAACAATAATGAACATTTTCTTTGAATGATTCTCATTTTAGTGGCAAAAATGGCAACGCTTTGTATTAAAATATTATGTGTTGTAGAAATATAGAAAACAAGGCGTCCAAGTGTGTTTTGCTAAAATACAATGAACTCGTGAAAACCCTCCATTGTTGTCCCAAATGTGAAAATGTTTATCCAACCATGGCTTGAAGTGAAGTATTTTGAAAACTATATCTGTTTTGGCATGCTCAAAGGTCCATGAGCACGTGCACTGACAGGCTGCAATCTCACCCCTTGACGGTGGGGGTGTACCCGGAAAAAGAATTACCCAATGCTTTTGTATGGCGTCTTCATTCTCTCAAAAACGTCTTTACAGGATGGTCCAAAAGTGGCTCTTGGTCCAACGCTACGGTCGCTGTCAATGATGAGAGGACCAGTCTAGTTTGATGATATGGCCCTGACCTGTGGTGTACCACAGGGGTCGATCCTGGTACCTCTCCTATTTAATCTCTACATGCTGCCGTTAGGTCAGTTAATACAAAGAAACAAAGTGTCCTACCACAATTACGCTGACGACACTCAGATCTATGTCTCACTGACTGCAGGAGAACATGGACCACTGGATTTGCTCCTTCACTGTATCCAACAGATCAGTGACTGGATGCAAAATAATTTCCTCCAGCTAAATACAGACAAAACCGAAATCATTGTCTTTGGTCCCCAGAAACAAAGAGAGGGCGTCATTTGTCAACTTCAGTCTCTCTCCCTACTTCCTTCAGACAAGGTCAGAAATTTGGGGGTAATACTGGACTCAGACCTAAATTTCAATAGCCACATAAAATCAATAACATCAACAGCTTTTTACCATCTGAAGAACATTGCCAAAGTTAGAAATATAGTGTCCAGGGCAGACTTGGAGATTCTTGTCCATGCATTTGTCTCCAGCAGGCTAGACTACTGCAATGGCCTGCTTACAGGTCTGTCCAAACAGACCTGTAAGCAGCTGCAGTACATCCAAAATGCAGCAGCTAGAGTCCTGACAGGAACCAGGAAGTATGACCATATTAGTCCGGTCCTCAGGTCTCTGCACTGGCTTCCTGTGGCTCAAAGAATAGATTTTAAAACGGCTCTGCTTGTGTACAAGTCTCTCCATGGCCTTGCACCAGAATACATTAGTGACATGTTGGTGTCATATGAACCGGCCCGGACTCTGAGGAGCACAGGGACTGGCCTCCTGCTGGTGCCCAGAGTGAGAACCAAACATGGGGAGGCTGCGTTTCAGATCCATGCAGCTAAGATCTGGAACAATCTCCCTGAAAATGTGAGGGAGGCGTCTACTCTGTCAATGTTCAAATCCAGGTTAAAGACTGTTCTGTTTGCCTGTGCATACAACTGAAGGATTTTATCTCCATTTTTAATGCACTGCTGTCATTTATTTATTTTTTTAAATTTCTTGTGTAATTTTGAAAGTTTTAATGGTTTTATTCTTTTGTGTGATTTTAATGTTTTAATTGTGTTTTAATCTTTTGTGTGATTTTAATGTTTTAATTGTGATTCTGGTGTTTGTTTTATGTGATGATTTGTGATGTGGACTGTGAAGCGCTTTGTGTTGCCATGTGTATGAAAGGCGCTCTACAAATAAACTTTGATTGATTGATTGATTGATAGTTTAGCCGCTGTGGACTTTTGAATGCCCTCGTTAAATGGATGGGGCTAGTGCAGCTAACACATGCACAAATGCGTTTTTTCACATTTTAATGCCTCGCAGCCATTTTGAAAACATACTTCTTCAGATCACTGCATGTATGTGATTAAAGCACAGATGTATTTGTCGTTTCAGGATTTTGTTTTCCATGTTTTCAAAAAGTTTAGGAAAATGCAGCAAATCTCTAAACATGACATCAAACTTGTGACTTTTGAGTCAGAGAAATCTACAGACTTGCACAAACGAGCCATGTGCGAGAACATAACACTAAAAATACCAGCCTCTGTGTACTGCCACAAATAACTGCACTTTGTTATGGCTTTTGGGGTCACATCTGAGTGAGAAGAGAGAGAGAGAGAGAGAGGGATGTGGAAAGAAAGAGAAAGACAGGACTGATCTTTTAGTTGCAACATTGTGAAATCCTGGTGTTGGTCTTGAGAACTTTTTGCACAAACCAGCGGCTCCCGTCACATCATTAACATCTGTGTTGCTCTGAAGCTTCAGGTGCAGGAGATAGTCAAACTAACAAGCTGATCAGGTGTTGTACCGCTGAGCTCGGTCGTCCCTGTGCGTCCACTGCAGCTACTGACACAGACAGGCCTCCTCCATCTTTCATAGGGCTGCTGAATGTTTGAGCTCCTCTGAATACGTGTTGTGTAATCATAAATCACAGATTAATAATTCATAGAAGTAGGGATATACACTACAAAAGATGACAGAATTAAAGACCAAAAAATGCTAAAATTTGGCTAAATGTATCTAAATTTGAGCACATTTTGACTGCCTTAAAACAAGATTTTCCAGTGGAACAAGAAAAATGGTCTTGTTTTAAAAAGATACAAGATATTTTTCTCTTGGAATGAGAAAATAAAGCAATAGTTCTTGAATCAAGTCAAAATTGTTTGTCTCATTGGCAAATCTCATTTTAAGACAGTCAGAATGAACTTAAGTCAAGTTAAAAAAAACTCGATTCTAGCAATTATGATCTCATATTTGATCATTTTTCGCAGTGTATGCAGAGTATCTCCTTGAAAATCTCTCTCCATCTGAAGCCAGTGCAGCTGTGTCTCTGAAGCTCATGGCGGCCGCTGCTCCTCGTTCCACTCTGTTGCAGTTACAAGCTGGAGATAAAACAATTAAAAGCAAATTCACTTGAATTAATTAAGGAAAAAGCAGTGTCTGACTCTTCTATGGCAAGACGAATGATGTGAGCGTGGCTGCTTTAGTAACAATGTACACTGACCCTTTCCACCCCATTAACCTGCGCATTAACCCATACAAGAGCTTTATTAACACAAACATGTGAAGTAGAGGCTGAATAAATAAGCCAGGAGGAAATCAGACATTCATAATGCCTTGTAATGGATCCTAACAGACTCATTTTTACTGGATAGAAAGCGTGGCCAAGGCTTTTCATTCAAATGGCTTTTTGTGTATTCACAGGAGGCTCTAGTCTTCAGACCAAATCAGACAAAAACCATAACTTGATCTTTCACCTTAAGAAAAGACTGTTTTCTTTATTTTATTACATGATTTTCGGTGTCATTCTGCAGCATTGTCAGAGTCATAAATACTATTCATGTTACGATACAAAATCAATTATATGAGTATCAAATTACTTAACAACTACTTATATATATATATGTTTATTCATTCATTATTCATGAAGTCATTTTCTACCCCTTTATTAGTCCATTTCTGGGTCGGGAGGTGGCAATTAGAGATGAACCCACTACTCATAGCACCAGTCCCTCTGATCCTCCTGCAGGTGGTGGGTCCATGGGGCTGTGTCTTGCCCAACGACACCACGCCAACAGTAGGAGCAGTTGTAGTAGGTCTTGTGGGGCGATCAAACCCACAACCTTCAGGCCCAAATGCTCTACAAACTCAGCCACTGCCGCCCGCTATACAGTATACTGTATCATATAAACATAATACTGGCTGCAGTGAATGAGTTTTCTTGCCCCAGGTGATAATCATATCTCTCCCTCAACAAGTACCTGTTGTATCTGCATCTTCTCTTCCCTAAAGCCCTCCCTGTGGCTGCTGCAGTAGAATGGATCTCTGTCCGCCGCCTCCAGAATGGCGTCTGCTCTGGGCGGAGGTGGAAGGAGAGTGTCGCGCTGCCATGAGAGGTCCTTACTGCCTCCACAAAGCCGCCAGATTATGTCAGCTTTACAGGTCACAGTCTTTTGGGTCACCACATTTTTATCCTCCCTGGGCTGCGGCCCCTCAACACGGGGTAATGAGTCCACAAGTGCCCTGCCTGAGCTGCACATTAGGATCTGAGCTGCTGGGGAGGAAAGCTGTTGCACAAGTGTGGGTGCACTGTAACACATTTCTGTAAAATTACAATGAAATTTCAACATTAAAGAAATGTTATTTTGAAAAACAATTCAAACATGCAAATTTAAGTATAAATGGGTTGAAAAACATCCACTGGTGTTTTATTACCACAATTATAATGTGATTGCAAAAAAACGTTACAATACCATAAAATCACATGCGATTACCGTAATTTAACATCAACTTGTTGTATTTTTGGAATGCTGGGAAATGTTTGCTAGCAACCAACCATGAGTGTAAGAGCTGTAAACTCTTTTGTTAACAAGGTGCTTTTGAGTTACGCGTGTAATAGAAGTAAAGATTTCCATTATTTTCTTGTATAAACTGAAGATGTTAAAAAATAATTGAACAGTTGGGTTCATGAAAGGAAAACAAAATTAAACTGTGTAGTTTTTTGTTCAATTAAACTAATTAGAAACAGAAACAGTCGTATGGTGTAATAATACAAAATGAACATTATAATGCTGTTTTTGTTGTATGTGAATTAACAGGAACATACAGTTAAATCCTTAAATCACAAAGGTATAATGTGATTCAGTGACACAGTCTTTAACCGTCAAAATTAGCAACGATAATGCCTTGTTGAGATAACGGTAAATTCCTGGAACTATATTTGCCAGCATTTTACTGTTTTTCTACAAGGACATTTTTTACAGTGTGGGCTCAGGACCAGGCCTCGCCATCACTCTTACTGAACTGGATTTATGTCTCTCTTTTCTTGTGAATTACATTTTTGGCTCTTTCATGTGCGCGGTGATAGATGTACGAGGTGAAAGATGGTGGAAATGGCAACGTGTCTTCATCTCCCGCTTTGCCGTAATGAGAGAGGAGCCAGAATAGTAAGCCGTAATGGGTAGAGCCACACAGCGTTTTACATTGTTGTGTGAGTGTAGGGTCAGAGAGTGTTTTGGGCTTGTGTGTGTATTTGTATTTGTAGTTATTTGATCTCCATTAGCTGTGAAAAGTACAGCTAATCTTCCCGGAGTCCAGCATGCTGCTCACAAAAACAATATTTTGACCACTTCTCACCATCACGTGATAGATTAACCTACACTCACATACTGATTTTAATTCCCCCCTTAAAATAATTTCTAGTTCTTCACCCGTACTTTGCTATTTTTAATTTTTACAGCACTAGTGGCAAGTAATTTGTATAAACAGAGAACAGGAGAGGTCCAAGGCAGCTTCCTTGAGGTACACCACAGCTAATTTTGTTTACGTCTGAGAAGCTTCCATTGAAAAAATATAGTTTGTTTCCTGTTTTCTAAATAATTATTAAGCCGCAGTGATGCTGCTGGACTGAACCCATAACAATACATTTTATTCAGACGGTTGTGATTTTTAAGATCAAAAGCTAAGCTAGCTTGTCTCATATCATTAGCAGTATGTTTTTATTACTGTATTTATTGCACAGTATTAAACCATTATTCTGTATTGTTTTTGCTCATGTACTTTATTGTGTTGAAGAAGTTGAAGAAGTGTAGAGAAGGAAAGTCCCACAGACATTTTAGAATTTCTTTATACAGATGGAAAATGCAGTGAGTTCAGGGCTTTCTTTGATTGTTTCCATGTTGATATTGTCTTCGTAAACCCAGATATGAACCTATATAAAGTGCTACTTTTAGAATAAACTTTATTAGTTGTGTTTGTTTGGATGGATACATTCTAATCCGTCAAAAGGCATTTTATTTTCAGATATTTTGTATTATTTTAAGCAGTATTTTACTTATTTTCATATTTATTTTCCTTATTTTTTTCAGGGGATCTTTTCCAGCCTACACTCTTGTTTCTGCTTTACGTAGCGATAATCTGCATAAATACTCAGAGATTAGGATTTTCACAGATAATCAGTGTCTTCGAGGGTGATTTCGAACTTAAATTTCTATGATAACATTCTCTAAATTATAGAGACAATTGGTTAGTGTTCTCTCTTCTCAGCAAAAAGCTCCCGGGTTTGATTCCACCTCCAAACAGTGTCTTTCTGAGTGCAGTTTGCATGTTCTCCCTGTGTCTGCGAGAGGTTCCCATTATTAACATATACAATAGCTTCCCTCTCTCCGGAGCCAGGACTCTCCTCAATACATTTTTTGATCCAAATCCCAGAAGGAACGAGGCTTTTCTGAGTGGAGTTTGCATATTCTCAAGTGTCTGCTCTGGTTTCCTCCAGGTGCTCCGGTTTCCTCGAAATAAAACATATTTTTCTACATATTTTTCTAATTCTCTACTATCAGTTATTGAAATACGATTACAGCAGCAGAATCCAATTAGATCAAAGTGTGACTAAACAGAAAGACTTGTCTACGGTGATCCGAATGTTTCAACAAATGGTAGATCTGTTATTAACCCTCACTAAACCGTGAAATTCAATCCCGCTGAACGTGTACAGCCTGTGCTATTTGTCAAGTTAGAAAAAAACAAAACGGAATAGATGGAAAAACTGTGTATCCAGGTTGTTGCACAGAGCGATCGCACAGAAAACCACAGCAGATAACGTTTGCAAGAGCGTGTAACTTGGGAGAAGGATTGGAATGACGAGATTGGAGTGGACTAGGGCGATAGAAGGGTCGGTGTGTGTCGGGCTCAGCTGTGCTTTAGCTAATGGCTGGAGTGGAGCGGCCTTGTCCTCTGTGATAGCAGTTCACTGGAGTGGACTCGAAACACCCGCACCCAAAGGAGGCTGACGCATCAAACACAGACCTCCCTGGATTACTGTGGTACAAATATATAAACAAGAGTCGAGAAAGAAGCAGAGAGATGGAAGAAGTGTGTGTTTGTGTGTTCCAATGCATTTTCTCTACCTTTAAACACACAGCATTTTTGTATATGTTAGCTGTGGGTGTCATGGTGTGGATTCTTAGTTGTATTGTGCTTGTGTTTTATCCCTTTGGTTTCATTTTTAGTTTTACTTCTTGTCTAGAATCTGGAACAGTCTTCCCGAAGGTGTGAGACAAGCTGCTACCCTTAAGCTCTATTCAAGTACAGGCTGAGAACGGTTCTTTTGGTCGCGTGCATTAGTGGGCCAGAGGACTCATTTGTTATTGATTAAAGTGTTGTATTTTCTGCATTGTGAGCCTTGTATGTGTGAAGTGGGGAGGCACGTTCACACCGGGGATACAGGGGTTGCAAACGTGATCAAGCGTACCCTAGTTTTCCTGTGTTTCTATTGGTTTAGCCCAGGGGCGGGGCTAAAAGTGGGTTTATAAGAAGGGTGTTCTCACTCCTGGGGGGTGGAGAGAGTGAGCTGGAGTGCTAGAACGAGCACGACTGTTTTAGAAAGTGAGTAGAAGCCTGGTTTTTGTGCTGGCAGTAAGTCCTGTTTTGTTCAACTGCAGGTGGTGGACTCACCAAGTGAACTGGGTGCTGCTCTGACTGCCACCCCCCCCCCAACCCAGAAATGGATGAAGGGGAAGAAAATGGATGGATGGATGTTTTTTCTGCACTGTGTTAAAACAATATCGCCGTCTAAACGCTGTGCAGGAGCCTGGTCGTTTTTGCTAATAGCTTTGCAACGTCTCCGTCTGAACAGGGCCTGAGCTCCTTCAGTATTGCCTTTCGTTTATTTTACTGATTTCAAACATTGCACTCTGTTATTTCTGATTTTAAACTACAGTCGAACCTGGACAAAATCACACACACACAAACAGACATAGTTCACTTAGTTTACTAGTTGACGGCAGATCTGAACTCAAACCAGACTGTAACTTGCTTTTGGTAGACAAGATACATATTCATCATATGCAGATAGGAACGGAAGAACCAACAGAACCAAAATAACAATGAGACAAGACCTTCCTTATTATGTAAATTAACCTTCCTGTTTACATGTAAATAGTAAGCCAAGAACAAGGCTCATGCTTCCTCTTGGGATAAATGGATTACTGTAAAAAAAAAAAAAAAACGCCCTTCGTTCAGACATTCTGGCGCCAAAGGTCGATTAAAATGCATCCGACGTGTAATTTAGTCACATATGATTCACTATAATGATAACTTAAACAACATTCTAATGCCTTTGGTGAATAACTACATTAAACACATCTCTCCAAACCTCTCCTGATACATGTCCTCCATTCCACGTACGCAGAGTAAATACACAGCTCCTCAGGTCGCAGAGTATACAGTATGATCTTCTGCATGTGCTTCAGACACATTTATACATGTGGTAAGTGGAGGCGCCCTTGATCAAACTCCTGCTCACGGGACTCAGCACTGATTTAACATCTCCTCAGGATCACATACTGTAGCAATAGAGCTCTTCTGGGTCACACAAACCCAGCCTTCCTCTGAGCGCATCCAACACACAACAGTTTGGTTCTGTGCCGTTCTCTTGCTAACATGTACCCGGACAAAGCAAAGATTATACAGATATTTCTCCTCTTTTTGTGTGTGTGTGTGTGTGTGTGTGTGTGTGTGTTGCCGGTGCATTTTCTCTGGATAAAGCAACTCCGAGGCCTATTTCCACTGAGAGGCAGCCCCGCAATATGTTTTGGACCAATGCTGCAGCTGAGATAACATCCACGCTGCTGCAGCCACAATTTGATCCTCTCGCTTTGCCTGGACTAAAATCCAATTTCCTCCTCGCTGTGAAATAAGACAAATGCAAAACAAGAACAGCAGTGTTTTTTCTTCTTCTCTAAAGCAATGATTAATGCATTGCAGCAGATGAGTGATTATCCTTTGATTATACAGCAGGAAATGTATTTAAAAAGAAAATGGCAAACTACATATAGATTCATGTTTAAGGTACTGTAAATGTAGAATGAGCTTGACTCTGGATATTCATATAGATAAGAAGGACTTTTATACATATGTGTCTGGTCTTACCATGTGTAAACTCTGGTCCATGGTCATCTCCTACATGTACGTCTGGTCTTACCATGTGTAAACTCTGGTCCATGGTCATCTCCTACATGTACGTCTGGTCTTACCATGTGTA